GGTCTCAGCGGGCTCACCGCGGGTCGCTGAATCTGATCCCCTGATCGGAAGGGACGAGACTGTAAGGCCCTGCGGGACACAGACGGGATGGGGAATCGGTGGCCCCCTCCCCTGCTTGCAGATCTGGAGCTCAGCGTGCCTCAGTGGAGAGAGCTCTGGGCAGCAGGCTGAGGGGGAGAGTAGAGCAGGTCCCGGCGAGCCTTGAAACGACATGTTCTCTCACCTCAAGGGGACAAGGGGCTTTTCCCAGCCTTATCCTGAAGGGGGCCTTCTGTGTAATGTTTGTGAATGACGTTCTGGATGAGCAGAACGGCAGGAAAGAAGGTAGCCTAGGCATTTCTTTGCAAAGGTGAGCCTTAGTTTTGTTTCTTTTAAAGCTCCTAGGTTCTTTTAAAGTCCCTAAGTTAAACCTTTGAATTTTTGAAGCAACTACCTGTCAGAATTATTAAGGCCTCAGATTTGATATGTGCCGCTAATATTTCTTACCTTGGGAGCCATGGTAAGCCACAGAGAGGAGAAGCCCCCAAATAAGTAGAGTCCAAGGAGATGGTTTGACTGGGGGGTTCCTGGGCTTTCCAGAACCAGCTTCCTTGGGCTACATTTTGCAACGCTGGGGCTTGTCAAAATGCCAGTTCTCCGGCTACCACAACAGTCAATGTTAGTCCTGCTTTGTTCCTAGTAAAACCAACCATGACTTCATTTCCCGTTTGTTCCCTTTTTAGTTCTGTAATAAAGTGCTTTTCTTTTTAAGCGTAGAATCACATTTTGACCTTTTCTGCAGCAGAAAATCTGTGAGGCCACTGTTCCACTTGTAAGAAAATATGTTGTGTCTCCCCAGCAGCCTTCCATGATCCCGGGAACCTCCCACTCCCTTAAGGAAACTGCACTCTACTGCCTGCCCCGCCGTGTGTGGGAAACAGGAGTTGGCGTCCACTTCTAAGAACCCCCTCTGTCACGTGAAGGGCAGCAGCACAGCCAGTTGATTTCTAAACTGAGGATTTCCGCCGAATGCATCTGAGGAGGGCGCGCTATCTGGAGAAGGGCTTGAGACGCTATGGATAGCTCCAACCTCTGGCTTTTGTAATAAACTAGTGCACAAGAAAAACAAAAAACAAAACACAGGACATAGGACAAGGTTGTAGCCCCAGCTGGGATCGGTATCTCCCCATTCATCCCTGAAACCAGCTGTACTTAATCCTTTCTGGGATGTTTTTGCATAAACCATTCAAGTCCACTTTTAACCTAATCTACCTGGACTTAGGTTCCATACTTACAACCAAAAGCAGCCTGTCAGCTTGAGCCCAAACATGATATACAACAGTAACTTTGGTTTGGGTTCTGTGTATGTATTAGTGGCCTTTCTGATAAGGTGACAAAACATCTGACCAAAAAAAAAGAGAGAGAGAAGGCTAATTTGGCTCAAGGCTTCAAAAGTTTCAGTTCATAATCAGCTGATTTTACTGACTTCAGGCCTGAGGTGAAGCAGAAACATGATTGTGGAAGGCCAACATGGAGAGCGCTGTTCCTTTCCTGGCAGCCAAGGAGCAGAGTGCGCAAGAGTCTTAGGATAAAATATTCCTTCAAAGACACTCTCATTGGCTTACTTCCTTCAGTGTCGCCCCACTTTCCAAGGGCCTATTCAGCTACAAACTTATCGATGGGTTAATGTTTTATGATCCAGTGTCAATAGCACAACCAGCTGGGGACCAATCCTTCAACACAATGGGTCTTCTGGGGGCTGGCGTGTGAAATACATCAGATCCAAATTGTGTCGGCAAGACATGTCTCTGCAAATCCCCGAGACAATCGGCAGACATCTAACTGGCTTCCTGGGCAGGTGGAGTTCTGCCCACAGCCTTGCTGTACTCCTCTACATCCAGTTCTTTTGTGTCCTCTCTCCCCAACAAGCGTGCACTTTATCAGGGTTATCTGACCAAGCAAGAAACGTCAGTCACCAGAATAAGCAGCCAGGTGGAGATCCAGCCAAAAAGAATCACCATTTCCAGGTCCTGAGCACACGTGCTACTTTTACAACTCTGGCCTCTCGCCATTTATAGCAGAGTGTAAACAGAAGACAAACCAGACCTTTGTTTCTTCCTTCTTGGGATCACACTAAATGTCTGGACCAGACATTTAATGTCTTTCTGTGGTGCTTTGAATGAAAATGGTCCCCACTGGCTCACAGGGAACGGGGCTATTAGGAGGTGTGGCCTTGCTGAAGTAGGTGTGGTTTTGTTGAAGGGTGTGGGTCACCGTGGGTGGGCTCCCCACTGTGACAGTCATGGACTAAACCTCTGAACTGTAAGGCAGCCCCACAATTAAATATTTTCTTTTATGAGGGTTGTCATGGTTACAGTGTCTCTTCACAGTAACAGAACCCTCGCTAAAGCACTTTCTAAATTTTGCAATCAGAATGTAAGTTGGTATTAGCCCAGGCTAGCTCTGGCAATACAGTTTGTGATGAGATCTGGCACAGCTGAGCGTTCAGTTCGGCTCAGGATCTTCCGGCATGTAGAATTTCTCTTGGCGGGCTGATATCTGAGTGAGCACAAACAGCCTCCCAAAGAGGCCTTAACAGTCACCAGCGTCTTCCGGAAGGGCTTCTGTTCGACGGTCATCTCTAAGAACATGGTTTAGTATTTGGAAAGGCCTACTACAAATGTCAGCTGGGACACGAGGAACTGCCGTTGGGGTAGGGCCTCAGAAAAGTCACCCATTCTGTCTGTCTCCTTGTCTACACTGAAGATTCTGTAAGGCTCAAAGTGTGGCTTTGCAGACTCACAGGACGTATTGAGCATAGTGTGTGCGGTTCATGGTAACCTTCCACCAGATGCTGCTGTACCTGGGGGCCCAACTAGGGCCGTAGGCTCCTCTTCCAGCCTCCAAGCAAGCACCCTTACTCTTGTCTTAGGGCAGGGAGCTATTTTATTTTCCTTCTACAGGCTTAACCTATGTACAGTATGTCTAAAATGTCTAATCCTCTTACCGTGTTAGGGGGCTGCGGCATCCTCCAGCCAGCAGCGCTGATTTTCTTGATGCTGAACAACTGTGAACTAACTAGGAGTCGGGGAGCCGTAGCTCTGGTCCCAGGTGTGAGGCAAGTCACATATACCCCACAACAGCTTGTTTCCATGCCTAAAAGATGAAAGGAATTGATTAAATAAATTCCCTTCAGGCTCAACATGTTATGATCTAATTAGTAATCATTGGTATTGGGACCAATGCCCCATTTAATAAAGCCCTTCTAATTAGGGCATAGGGAAATGTGAAATGCGTGAATTTCTTTACACAAGCCAAGGAATTGGTTGCTAATAAACTCGGAGCTTTTAATTTAGAGAAAATGGCTAAAGTGTCAAAAAGAGAAGATAGGCTTACCTCCCTGTAGAATACCCCTTGTTACTCTTTTTGAAATGACTTCTAATCCATCGTTTGTGTCCTTCCCAGAGGGAATGCAGTCTCCAGCCAATTTAGATGGCTCTGAAACAAGGAGAAATTAAAATGAAAGATCCCCGGAGGGTATCTTTCATCTGAGAGACCCCCTCCCAAGGAACAACGAGGCCATTCGGATGCAAACAGCAAGAGGCTTTTATTTTGATACACGGGTACCCGGGGCAGCAAGGTCATTCGGATGACTTTGCGCGCCCCCTGGGTGGAAAGCTGGGGTTTTTATAGGGTTTTAGAGCAGAAGCGTGGGTATAGAAGCGAGAAGCATGGTTACAGGGGGCTGATTGGTACGTTTACATGAGACCACGGTTTGGGTTTGTGTCAAAGTTTGGCAGGGACGCCAGGATTCCAGGAACTGGGTGGTCAAAAGGGTCATGATGACCCCTTAACGTGGCCACCTGTTATTTTGTCTTTCCCTATCTCAGCTGGAACAATCTCTGACAGATATCCCATGAGGGTAGTCACAACAAGTTGTTTTTAGCTCAACAGGGGCAGCCTGACCACAGATATCCCAAGTGGGTGACACAGCTGGGTTTCTCAGTAATTTTTCAGTTTCTCATCTGGCCTTCAGAGTTTTACAAAACAGTGGTGTCTCACAAAATGGCGTTAGCTATGTTTAACTTAGGGTGAGGCTGGGGTCTTTCAAAAATGTTCACACTTTTTGTGAGAAATCCATCATTTGTGGTGACTTTAAGTCTACTTAGGAAATCAACCCCCATAAAGTCCATTCTAACATAGTCCTTCCAACTGGTGACAGCTACAGGCTAGAATGAGAGCTCTGACCAGCTCTACAGAGGATATATCAAGACAGCTGCTTTGAGGAGAGGAAAGGTTTTCCAAGTAGGACGATATTGGTGTTTCCTGTTCTCCCTTACCTGTCAGAAGATAAACCCTAAACAGGAGATTTTTATCCTAATAGCTAATGATGTGAAAACCAAGGCTATTTATGGTAGAGAAGGGAGCTTGGAAAATGAGAGGTGAGCCAAAGAGGTCATTCTGTAGTGCAGCGGCCTAAATTCCTGCAACTCCCTTCTCCTTCAGCACAAAGGGTCTTGGAGGCTCTCTTCAAATGACAGCTGTCAGAATGAATAGACGATTCCCGAAGAAGAGCGAAGCCCTCTCTAGACACCAACAGAAGAAACAGTGTGCTTCTGCTGGCACTCTCTCTGATGGAAACCGAGGCATTCACGGACCGGGGCTCGGCTCACATTCGCCCATTTTTGGGTAGGTCCATTCGAGCCAGCAGTCAGGCCCTTGTCACCTTCCTCAGGGTCAGCTTTAATGATGTTTCACCCCAACTTTGATTGATGACGATGGCGACAGTGATAATCACAGTGATGGTGGTGACGGTGGCAGGGCCAGCGATGGTGGTGGTGATGGTGATTACGTTCTCTGTCCTGTCATTCCTGGATATTATTCTCCCCACTTCACCATAATCTCCTTTGAGAAATCTGTTTGGGCCACTCTGCTTCCGCTCTAGCTCTGTTCATTGGCTTACAAAGGGATTCAAGGAGGAAGAACATAGACAGAACCCCTGCAGCTTTTGTAAGCTTAAGAGCGTAAACCTCTTTCAGAATGAGATTTCATAGACACAAAGACAACTACCCTTCTGAGTGGTTGCTGAAAGGCTGCTCATAAGGAGAAAAATTAAAATATATCGAATTATCATTCCAGGCTCTTCTGATTACAGGACAATCTTTTTATTTTTTTAAACATTTATTTTATTTTGTTTTGTATATGTATGCGTGTCTCTATGTGTGTATGCCACATGTGTGCAGGGACCCACAAAAGTCAGAAAAGGGTATCAGATCCCCTGAAGCTACAGGAGGTTATGATCCAGACAACATGGGTGTTGAGAATCAAGCTTGGGTCCTCTGGAAGGGCAACAAGTATTCTTGAGTTATTCTCATCTATTTTTCCACTATTTTTAGAATCCCAAGTTCATATCAATGATTTGTCATTTAGAAGCACGGTGAGCTTTCATTTCAGTGTACCCGAGAGACAGGGTCATGGGCTTTATGTTTCCCTCAGAAAACTGGCATGTAGAGACAGAGGAGGAGAAGGGCAGAAACCAGCTGGCAAGGGGAGAGAGAAAGAGAGTACTGGGAGTGGATGGTATGTTATACACTTAAAGAATTTGACTTCAGAAGCCTTCGTGCCTCACCTGATTATCACTTCTTGTTTTGCTGTCAGAGGTGGACAGCGTCTCACTGAAGGAATGCAAAAAATGTTGTTATCATATGGCTCTATGATCCTATCTCCTGTCTGTATCCTCTCAGAATTGAGTCTCTGCCAGGCTACTGGCTGGAATGTGAAACCACATACCTACCACTTGATGAGAACCCACATAGCCAGTCTGAATTGTGGGCTGCCTCCCACAAACCCACTTGTGAGATTTGCACGGAGAGCCCACCGGAAGTCCCGTGCCGATTCCCAAAGCTCCCATGTAGCTTATGGCCGTTAAATGTGTGAACTTCTCCGTAATGGGAAAACGAGACTTTGTCTCCAGCACCCTCCCCTGCTGAATTGCCCGGCATTCAGACACAACACCAACAGGCACCAGGCTTCATTAGGGAAAGAAACATTTCTGCTGAACATGCATCTTTACACAAAGCTGCCTTCTGGTTAAAGAAATGTAAGAAGCCACACAAGACTATTTGGGGCTCTCTTGGAGATGCAAAATAGATTTGAAATTGTTGAGCTCTACTTTCCCAAGAGCCATTTATCCCTGTTTTGCCTTCCCCTTCTACAACCCACACATATAGCTAAGTCCGACTTTCTCCCTGCAGTTGGGTGAGACAAGATGAGCCCCAGGGTGAAGACCCCTCGGCCAAGCCTCACTGCGTGCACCATTGCCTGCCCAACTCCAGCCCCAGCTTCAGCTGCCAGAGACATTTCTGAGCCCCGAGTCTGCTCGTGATCCGTGTGTCTCTGGTGCCACCTGCAGGAAGTAGAAACAGCCAAGCTGTGCCCCTTTCTGAGAGGCAGGGGAGAACAGTGAGCAGGATGTGAAGCAGTCCCGTTGTCTTCTGTGAGTGTCTTCGGCAATGCAGAGAGGTCTCCTGAGAGGTGGAACAAGAGAAGGATGAAGACTACCAATGTCATTTGAAGGGTAGAGCTATCCTAGATAAGAGCAAATTCCTTAGCTCAGCCGGAGGCTGAAATATCACACCCAGATCGGGACAGGCTGCTAAGAGGAACGGCTAGGTGAAGGGGCCACTTCGAGAAAAAAAAAAAAAAAAAAAAAACAACTTGGGATATGACAAGTAACAGTGGGGTTAGATTGTGGGGTAAGGAGATAGGAAGATAAGGAAAGGGGTTTCTAGAATTAGCATTTGAGAAGAGGGAGTGAGGGGAGAGAGAGACACACACAGAGAGAGACTGGTAGACAGCATCCTAATGCGAGAAGAGATTGCCTAAGAGCAGAGCAGAGGGCGCACTTAAGTCGAGGGCAAAGTCTGTCAGTCAAAGTACTGGGCACGGAGCTTGCCACTATGACATGTGACAGAAGGGTGCCTGCCAAGCAGAGGGATGTAAGAGAGGCCAGGGAGGTTGGAATCACGCTCGCTCTGGTTGTCTCCCTGCACCTCTAGAATGTACAATCGATTGTAAGTGCACCAATCATTGCTCACTGTGTGTCTGGGACAGCCTGCTTTATGCCTCTGTACGTCAGCAGTGTTCACAGCAGCAGCTCCTTCTCAACGAGAGAACAGCGGCCATGTCTAAGCCCCTCATAGGAAACAGCTTAGAATTTCCATAAAACCTACACACATCCTGCCCTGTGTTTAACTTCTATAGCTTACTTTTCGTTTGCTAACTTTATAAAATTAGCATATGGTACGTAATAGCTAATGAAATAAAATGCAATGTCTCGATTGGGGCATGCACTGGATAGTGGCCAACTCTATTTTAGTATTTTCACCACCTTAAACTTGAGCCACTCCCTATGGAGTGCCAATACTCAAGTACTTTTTTACACTATGTCTGGATATATAATGTGTTAGCGCTAATTATACTGTGCGGTTGTGCACCGGCATCTCCTCCTGCTGGCAAACAACAGACCTGTCGACCAATCTCCCTGTCTCTATTCCTCCCTCCAGTCTCAGACATAGGTAACTATCATTCTCCTACAAAATCAACGTCTGGAGATTTCCCTCGTCGATGAGACCATGCG